TGAAAATCGAGTGGCGCCATCTTCAGTGGTCAAGTTGCGAGGGCACGCCACTACACAGCGTCTTTGGTCCCCAGGTTCCTAGTAGATCTCTGTGTCCCGCCAGGTGCTCAGCAGAAGAGAGATTGCACCGGAGTGGCAACATGGCGCCGGACGGGAGTGGTCGAGTGCGAAGAACGGCAGATTTCAGTGTTGAACAACGGTGGAGAAATGGCACGCAAACAGCTGCAGGCGTGGAGGAGCTCTTCGGGTGTGCAAGAGATCTGAAGAAACTCGTCGATAGGTACTCGAGAACACCTATTGGAATAAAGCAAAGAGTGAGCAAATTGCATGAGATCATAACCTCAAAATGGATCGTCGACGAAACGTCGCCGCCAGAGTGCGCGTGCACAGAGGACGTTGGCAATCACGGAGAGAACCATGAGAGTGCTCTCGAAACAGCTGTTAAAGATACACCCGCTGGACCAGAACCGAGCAATCACGCTGGCGCATAGGAAGACTCTTCTGGCAGCAAGGAAACAACAAGGGCTTTGACGCCGAAGATGAGAGAAGACGAAAACGAAAAAAGGCACAACGAAACGCGGAAGCCCGAAAGCGCAAAAGGGGGAGGAACATGGCAGAAGCTGTCATCGTACGGGCAGAAGGAAAGAGCTACTCTGAGGTTCTCAAAAAGGTAAAGGAGAGCATTAACATAGAGGAAGTAAATGTCGACATCACTTCTGTCGACCTACTCATGGAAATCTCAAGAGGTAGCGGAAACATTGAGAGCTGCTCTAGCTGAGAAAATGGAAAACGGCCACAGCGTAAGCGTGCTGCAGAGCACGATTACTGTCTGCATCAAAGACCTCGATGAATAAACAACCATCAGTGAGGTGGAAACTGCACTGAGAGCCGCGACAGGGACGGATGCTTGCGTCAAAAACATTAGACCTGCACAGGGGAGGAAGCAAATATCGACAGCCGAAATCCCACAAGCCGCAGGAAGGAAACTCACAGAAAGTGGCCGCATAACTGCACAAAACTGCACTGGCAGTGATAGAACGAGGTACGAGGTACTGCCTAAGATGCAGCAAGGAGGGGGCCACAAAGCCAAGGACTGCTATGCTGCCAAGCGGGACATCAGGCAGGCACACGCTCTGTCCGATATATAGACGAGCGCTTAAAGATCAACAGCGGTTTGGCTGTCGCAGAAATGGTCACTAAAATCATACAGACGAACCCAAACAGGTTCAGGGCTGCCCAGGACATGCTTTATGTCACAGCTAAAGAACTGAACTCTGACATTTTAGTAGTTCGAACCGAACAAGGCACTAAGCAGAGCAGGCTGGTTCTGCGACGAACCCGGGATGCTGCAATCAAAGTCCTGAACAATAAAGTGGCGGTTCAAAAAACAGGACGGGGGACTGGATATGTCTGGATAAAGACAACAAATTACACTCTCTACTCCTGTTACATATCCCCAAACTTCAGTAGAGCCGAAAGCACTCCCGTTATCGCAAACATTGCACTAGACGCAAGAAGACAAGGAGGGCAGGCAATAATTTCGGGGGACCTAAACGGAAAGATTCCGGAATGGGGTGAGACACGCACGGACGCAAGAGAAGACATCACTGAGTGGGCTGCTAGGCTAAATCTAGTATGCGCAAACAGAGGCTCTGACCCTACTTTCGAGCGTGGAAACTATTTATCTATCCTTGACATCACTATGGTCACGCCTGGAATAGCTGCCAAAATAAATGATTGGAGGGTTCTGGACAAGGAAACGCTGACTCACCACAGATATATAATGTACAGCATCAGAGACAGAACAAGGAGCCAGCACCAAGCAGTCACACCGGAATGGGCAACAAGAAAGCTCAACAAAACTATACTCTTAAACTCCATTGCTGACACACTTGGAGAAAGCCCAACAGCAGAAGAGCTAATGGAGTCCATAGAAGGAGTGTGCAACGCAGCAATTCAAGGAAAAAGCCAACCAATTACAACCGGAAACAAACTTACTGGTGGTCAGAGGAGATAGCAGAATTAAGGAAACACTGCCACGCTGCTAGAAAGCAGTACCAGCGGCAAAGACGAAGAACAAACGGAGCTGACTGCGACTCGGAAAAAGAACAGATGTCAGCTGCAAGGAAACGATTGAAAGGAGCCATCAAGGAAAGCCAGAGCAGATGCTGAATCAACTCAGTTGGAAGACCGCAAAACTCGTTTTAGTGAAGAAACCGGGGAAACCCATAGAAGCCCCATCATCATACAGGCCACTATGCATGATTGACACTATGGGCAAGGACTACGAACAACTGATCCTCTCCCGGCTGAAAGACGAGATTGCAAGATGCAGAGGACTGTCCGACAGGCAGTATGGCTTCAGGGAGGGTTGATCCACAACCGATGCAGTCATGGCAGACATCAAGATTGTTACTGAGGCAAAGACTGGCACTTGGAGAACAAGAATATTATGTGCGATGCTAACCCTGGACGTCAGAAATGCCAACGTGGCATGGAAAGAAATCAAAAACGAATTTAGCAGAAGACAGGTAAACACATGCATAGCTAAGATAATACAAAGTTACCTTAGCGGCAGGAAGAATAAAAAGTGACTCAGGAGAAAAGGAGGTGACCATCACTAGTGGCGTGCCACAGGGATCGGTGCTACTCCCACTCTTTGGAATATTGTCCATGATGGCATTATTGAAATACAGCAGCTGGAAGGGGTAACGGTCCTAGGCTACGCGGACGACCTAGCAGTGCTAGTAGTTGCTAAAATGGAAGAGGTGCTGGTTGAGTCAGCAAACTCGGCGATCCTGAATATACAGGAATGGATGGACAGGAAGGGGCTCAGTCTAGCTCCAGGAAAGACGGAAGGGGTGCTGCTGGCCAGCAGGAGAAAAACGAAACCAGTTACTTTCCGAGTTACAGACGGAGAGTACGTAGCGAGCGTGCCGGAACGTGCAGAAGTGGCTACTGCAGCCATAATCAGGATGATGCCAAAGCAACGAAAGAGAAGACTGTTGGGTACAGTTACACAGTCTCTAATGCTGTACGCTGCACCAGCATGGGCGAATGCAATGCAAGTAGCAAAATACAGAGCGCAGAGAAAGGGAGCAAGAAGAGCATGCTGCGCATAGGCGACCATATCCTTGGATGCAGTGCAGGTCATTGCAGAAACCGTTCCCATTGAACTACCGGCCAGAGAGAGACTGGAACTCTACGAAGGCAGTAGGGACGAATAAGGCTGCACGATCTCGAACAAAGGGCGCATGAACCAGAACGATGATCCCAAACATCACGCAGTAGATGGGAAGGAAGCACGGAGAAGTAACTTTCCACGTGACGCAAGCTCTCTCAGGACATGGATGCTTCGGAAAATACCTCCACTCAATAACAAGAAAAGACAACCCAGGGTGTTGGTACTGCCAGGAGGAGGACGAACCCGAACACACCGTCTTCAAATGCCACTGCTGGGCGACGAGGAAGCAAGATGCTGAGGCAAAACTGGGCGAGGTCCTTGAACCGAAAAGCCTGGTTAGCATCATGCTAGAAAACCAGGAGAGTCCTCTTCTACAAAAAAAAAATAACACTGATGATTAAAGATAAAAATGTATTCCAATAATGTTAATGCAGTAAAAATAAAGCCGGAGTCTACGGCGCGATTTAAGGAAGAAATATTAGGTTTTCGTCTATCCATGACAAATGTTGTAATATACCATCCCATCCCTGATCATTACATATGAAAAATATTGGAAGTCACCTCTTCTTGTGTGCCGTAAAATTATTTATTCTTGCGAGCACACCTCACTGACAATTTTCATTTTATAATAATCAAAAGATGGCATTGTAAAACAACCATTTAAATAGGATGGCCATCAAAGAAGCAGTGATAGGGTGGTTAAAATAAAACTACCTTAAAAACAACATATAAGATCCTCAGGCGACAGAACTATTGATAACAACATAAAGTTAGTGTGCTTTCAAAGATAGGTTGGTATATTGATATATTGTTTGGTATATACTATTTTTAAAAATTTTACCAAAAAAAACTATTTAATACACCTTAAATATTAATCACTAGTTTAGCTTTTTTAATGTTTTGTGTTTAAATAATATATAACTTAGAAATAGACACTTTTAATAATAAAATAGTTTATTTTTCATCGATAATATACAATAGTTATAAAATTATGTTAAGTATCAACAACAGATTCGCGTTCTAAACCTAAGTCAGTAAATTTAAAAGAAAAAAATACATTACATATACACAATTTCGCTTGAAACACGATTAATTCATTGTCCGAAATTAATAAAAAAAAAAGGATCTTCGGCAGTGCAATTTTTAATATAAAAACTAATAACGCTTTCAAGTTTCGATACAAATCCAATCAATAATGATTATCTGCAGCAATTAATAATTGTATCTGTAATTGTTTGGTTGGTAGTTCCTCTGGTTGTCCAAGTGATAACTAGGATTGGTATCGTACTGCTCCCAATTATTTCCATACGAAGAAGAACTTTCGGATTTGCCTTGCTGCTGGTGATGCGTCTGGAAGTTATCGTATCCTAGAATATCCCTCGCGGCGGTCGGATTCTGCGGCCTGCGGATTGGACCGTAATCTTCATTATCCGGAATCGAATTGTAGGCCAAAACTAATCCGATTACGAACAGCAAACAAACCTACAGAAAAAAAAATAGATATATAATGAGAACGAAATACGTTTAGAAACTGGTTTCCGCATTTGGGAGTAGTTACTTTTGCGAAATCAATTTGGAAACTTTTGAGATCTAAAAATTCTAAATGAACGAAAACCATCAGGTGGTAAAAAGCGGTTCTCCGATAGGCGGAGAGAATCTTTTCGAAAGTTGTCGCTGCTCGGAAAGGTGAACATGAGATAATATTCTAGATTTTCGTAATTTAAAATTTGGTTCGCAAAATCACCGATTAAATTCCTCGAACTCATCTTTAAATTAATCAATATTATATAAGTCCAATTATCAAAAGAATTTAAATAAATATGAATTTAATGTTTTTTTTTTGAGGTATACCAATAAAAAAATGAAATCGTAAAGGGAACAGAAAAAAATTGAATGTTACGTATTGGATAACCAATTTAATTGCTGCTATAAAATGTAATAAGTAATCCTTTTACGTCTAGTAGATCCTAAAGAATATATAGATTGTCTACAATTCCAATTCGATTATTATCAGTATGAGCTTCGGACAATGCGGATTAAATTTCCATCTACGTTTTCTAAACTTATGCAACGACATTTGCATATAGTTGCGGATCATTGTATAAGGAATGATTAGATTTGGAGTGACGAGTGACGCAACGAACAACGCAAAATATTGTAATTCCGACGAAATTCACATTTGCATAGGAAAAAAAAGCGATGGTTTCAAATGAAAGCTTTCATTTTATTATTTAGTTATATCAATCGAAATAAACACATTTGGTGATTGATCATTTAAATTGATGTTATGTATTGTTTATTTGCTATAATTAAAATAATCTACAAAATTTCGGTTTGCATGTTCATAAAAAATTAGCAAAAAAAAACTCTCAAGGATTTTATGCAAGTCAATATTTGCATGGAAAGTGTTAAAAATCAACTATATAACAAGAGTAAATTATTATTATTTTAGAAAAAAACCATATCCATCGATAAGCACCAAAATTGATAATATGACTACATCAACTTACTGAAATAACACAGACATAAAATAAAATAAATCATTGACAATTAGTATTAATGATTCCCATTGATTTAATTTACATAAATTAATACGAAAAACAAACATTAACTCTTATTTTATTTCATGGAATTTTATTAAAACGTGGAATATTTTTGTTTCATTAAGTTTCGGTTGGTTAATGAAATTTTATCTGCCAATAAATTTAATCCGTTGAAAGGTATGAGTCATCCTTTAGAGCAATATTTAATTAATTATACTTTATTACATTAAAAGGTGATGTTTTTCATTAATTAATTTATTAATATTATTGATATTTTCTTTATGCTTACATTATGCCATAGGATAGTTATCAAGGTAAACTAAAATTTTCATTTTTTTTTATAATAAACTATAATGAAAAATAATTGACAAGCTACAAGTTCATATTTTATGATTACTTAAAAATGAAATATTATGCGAATACTATGAGAATTTGTAATAATTTTAATCAGTTTTTATACCTTATTTAATTGTACAGAAATTATACAAATATTTAATATACTGTGAATATATGTCACGGTAAAAGCACAAAATAAGTAAATGTGTACATTTCTATTCGAGATCGTACTAAAATTTTCTTTTTTTAATGAATTGTATCTAATTTATAACAAACGAAATACATATAGAAAATACCTAAATTGCTAATATTATTTTGAATCTAAGTTATTATTTTTTTGGTTTTGAACAGGTTATATATTTATAATTGTAATGTATGTCAGATTAAATTGTAAGATTTAATTAATATATTTCCAAAATTAGTACAATCTTAATATAATTAAACATTAAGTTTTGTTTGTCATAGATAATTAATTAAATATTTTCGATAATTTGTATACTTGTAATTGGTACATAATACCTATGAAGTTATGCAATAAACAAAATTATTATGTTTTCAATTTTCAATTTATTAAGTTATTCATGTATGTGAAATGAATTTGTGCAATTTAAACAATGAATAAACATTATTCAACAATATGGCCTTCCACTTGATATTATTCTAATTTATTGTTAAAGTAAAATTGGATTTATATTGATTGATTTATTTATTTGAAATGAATAAATGTAAATGGGTACAATACGAATAGCAATGTTTGAATGTAAAATATAAATTGTTAAATTAAAAACTGATTGTTATTAAATGCAGAAACATATGTAAATAAGTGCAATATTAATTTTTAATTGTTGTAGATAAATTGTGGATGTAACATACCAAAGTGATCTTAATCATGATTGTATCTATTTTATTTTGAACTCTTGGTTAAAAAGTACGTGATCAAATCCAACCAACACCAATCACAGCCGGAGCAAAAATGAACGAACGAATCTCGGATCGGCCAATGATATTATCACATATCGCGATCCGGGTCTTCGGAGGAATTGAAGGTTTCCAGGCGGAAAGCGTTTAAAAACCCCCAGACAGGAGTGTCAAGATGAAGAAAAAGAGAAGAAGATGAAACAACTTCAAAAAAAAGAAAGAGAAGAAGACGCACCAGAGCCGAGCGGCAACCTTTACCAATTCGTCGTATTATATAACAACGCTTCAACGAAGCCACGTTCCACGCACTCTCAACGGCCTCACCTACTCGATCATCTCGCTCTCTCGTCGATCAATCCTCCTCCTATTTCCAATTCTTGTTTTCTTCTAATTTTTTGGTCCAGCTGATATTTTTTCTCCTTTCGGTTGATGAGTTTTTACCTCATTAATAATTAATGATGTATTCGTGATGATCGGAATCCTGTGAGGTCGATCCGTAAGTGCGATCTTGTGATGATGTACAATGCACACAATTTCAAGACGCGATGATGCGTGTGCCTTTTGTGCCGTTAATCAACTGTAAATTATAATGGAACGGCAATGACACCATTCCGGGCGAACAGAATCTGAGTGGAACGGGGAAAATAACAAACAGACATTAACTAATTAGCGGTAATCCATTCATCGCGTTTTGCAACATAGTGGATGGAAAATGGCTTTGTCCTTTTCCAAATTGAATCGAAATAGATCGCTCGTTTTTAGCACTTTCGAATGGACTTCCAGTAATAATGAAAATCGGTTATATAAAGCAACAATTTTCAAGAGAAATTTACAAAATAATTATAACAAATAATTTAAAATTTGTAACCAGATGGAATCGAATGGACTTCGATTAATAATCAAAAAGGAATAGAAATTTATAATATTGATCAGATTTTATATCATAAAAGGTTTAAAAATATATAATCTAAACAAACGTAAAATAAATATATAAAAATAAATTTAATAATTAATATATGTTACACATTTTATAACCTAAAGCTATATTTTTATTACATGTAGAATAGTTTATATGTAAGTAAATATATTTTAAAATTACAAAAGCAATTATGAATTAATAACCTTTTTAATACATTATAAATAATAATGAAACGATAAAAACGGCAATAGATATAAATTTGGCTAAAACTCTACTTAAAACCTGTAGATTTAGTTTTAATTGCACAGTTGTCGAGTAACGAGATAACAATTTTGGGGACTTGAAAAATATGTTTTTTCAACTTTAAGAGATTAAGTTAGAAAAAGCAAAACATACTAATTTATAGATATTATCTATTTAAAAAAATATTATTTATACACCATTTTTATCTTTCTTTACTTTTCACGCAACATAAACATTTCACCCTCTCAGAAATTATAAATATTTTCGTCAAAAAAAAACTTTCCACGTGTTTTTTTATACTTCGAGTGGAGTTATCATAAAACATTCATGGATGGTTGTTTTTGATATTTTTAATATTGCTGCTAAGTCACTTGGTTGTTATTGATACTATGTTTTGATTTCATCATTATTACTATCAGATCTATATGTTTAAAATCGCCAACTTAGCGAAATACATATCCATAAACACCATCTATATTATTTATTTCTTTAATGGCATTTTTTGCTTTCCAATAATAAAAAACTTTGAAAGTCTAAAATGCATTTTTTTTTAACAATTCGGATATATTCAAGAATCGCCATTGATACTTAGAAATAATCATATACAAATTATTGTATATGTATAAGCATATACAAATTATTTACTTGTAAAAGACCTAAAATGTTTGAAACACATTGGAACTACATTAATGATTAAATAATAGAAAACAATTGCAGTGGAAGCTCGTATAAAGAGCATTTCGCTTAACGAGCAAAATGAATTGTAAGAAAAATGACTCGCTTAACGAGCGACGTTCGCATAACAAGTGACGATGAGAAGAGAAGTCCCGGATTACGCGCCTACTTAATCATTTTTAAAACTTGTGTACACATATTATGTGTATTTTTGAATATGTTTCACTATACGAGTAAAAATCAGGAAATTTTGGAATGGATTAAACTCGTTAAGCGAGGTTCCACTTTATATACATTTTTCTACATTAAAATTAATCGTTTATCTGTTATGAATACACATAAACACTTATATAACGCGGTACTCTCATAATGCGGTATCCATATGACGCGGTACATATCAATCATATTTGTACAAAATTTTCGTATAATACGGTATAAATTAATCTCGTTATACGATTGACTGTAATTCAAATAAATCAAAAACCTGATGTAATGTAATCATATAATTATATTATATTATTTGTTTAGATTACATTATATAGACTTCCATTTATTAAAAACTTCAGTTAAAAATCTAAACTAAACTAATATTATTAAGCAAACAATCTTACCTTAATCATCTTTATTTTAATGATAATATGATTATATAATAAGCAAATAAGAAAAGCATAATATTCCTGGAATAATCAACATAATTTAATGTGATTAATAATTTTAAACAAAAACAGTTTTCTTTTGCATTTTTTGTTGTTTATCCTTGCATAATTATTCGTGCTTCTTTTGCATGTATTTACACCGTTGTTTTTCTGAAAATTGCTGGATTGCGAATGAGCAACGAAGCCAATTAGTCGTATCCGGAATTGAGCGGTAATTGCGGATCGACTGAGTTGTAACACGTTCCGAGCTGGGGGAACGCAATTAATGCGAAATGATAAATAATAACATCATTATATAAGCGTGCAAAAACTAACGGTTAATACACGGCTGCACCTCGCCAAGGTGAGATGGTGAGGATGGTAGAAATAGTATGAACATCAAATGGATGAGGAAGAGATCGAGAAGCGCATCCATTCATCCTTGTTTGCTTCTTTTCCTGGTGCGATGATAAATTACTCTACAATTGGAGATGCATAGAAAAAATAAATTGATAATTTATGTTTAGCAATCGTATGTCATGGATCATTAGGTTTAAAATGTCGTTGATTGGTTTTTGAAGTAGCAAGCCTTCAATAACCAATCAACGACATTTTAATCTAATCATCCATGATATACGGAATGCAAGAAGATTTTAAGATGTATCAACAAATGATTCACTAATATCCAAATATATTATAATAACCGGAGCATCGATTATTATAAACTGTTTCATGAATGAAATAATGAAGTATATTTGTTATTTTTAAATATGAATAAATTAAATTAAAATTAATGGAATGTCATTCAATTAGGAAATTTAAGATTTATTGCTGACGTGGCTAATTAATTTATCGGTTAAGTAGGTTAAGCCTAAAGGTATGTTTAGTACATCATGTGGGGATTTATTAGTCTTCATATTATTTATATAAGTTCGCTTTAGTGTTGTTGTTATGTATTATTAATTAAGATTTATTACTTTTTAAAGATTTTGTAATAATATTAAAGAGTCATTAATTATATCGATGATATATTATTTTTAAAGTTATTATATTAAAAAAAATACTAAATATATATTTTTCACCAAATATGCTGTATATTTATTTATAAACGAATGGATTTGTGTCTTTCTAGATCAATTAAATAATAATCTTCAATAGTTTTTTGTCGGTTCCGTGTAATAGGTACAATGATATCATTTCTTGACTTATTAAATTATTACCGAAGATTAGCATTTGTTCTAAACATTACATATTTCCAATTACACATTTTTGGGTACATCATAAATAATTGAAAACAGGATAACATTTCGTTTGATTAGAAATTAATAGCGTATAAAGGCGTTTTTTTATCAACATTTTATGATGTAGTCCAAGATATTACATTTCAACCACATAAAAATATATTCATAATATATGTTTATTTATTTTTTTATTAGATTTACTGAGTTATTAAAGACTATTATTATTATTATATAATTATAGATATGACTAATTAACAAGTTTGTTAATCAACTGACCGAATCTACAACTGCATTCAATAATATTAGTCATTAAAATTTCTAAATGCCAAATAAACTAGACAATAATCCTTTTTCTAAATTTGTATGTCATCAAGTTACATTTTGATTAATATTTATTTATTTATTACATAAATAGATTTCAAATACAGTTTTCCATTTTTTAATAAAAAGACAATTGAAAAATAATGCTTAAAGTAAATTAAAATAATTAATATATCGGAATGGCAATATCTGTAGGCTTACATTCGAACCAAGATGCAAGTCTAGTTGAATACACAAATACCATGATGTATACATATATATTTTGTGTATCCTACCAAATTACAATTGCAAGAAAATAATAAAAAGAAAAAAATAATTACTATAATTATGTAGAAGAAAATATCCACAATCATTAAGTATAATTAAGAAATAATTAAGTATTTAAAAAATGCGTATAAAACTTTATTCAGAATGTACTAATAACGATTTAATTGTTTGCTTCTTTTTGTATTTTTAAACGTAAATTTTCTAGATAATAATGATAATTGCACAAGCTAACTATAATTTCCATAACCGTAACATTTCAACGTAATGTTAATCCCAAAATAATAAATATAAGATTTGTTGATCTTCTCTAATCCGTAATTATTTTGATTTACAATAATTATGGGAAATGATTTTTTATTAGTGCTTAAATATAATAATAGTAATAATAAATATTTTACAAAAAAAAAATCACATGATACATGTTTCATAATTTTGTCGCGGATTAGAGAAGGCTTCCAAAGTTCGCAAAGGGTTCTTAGTGAATAGTGGATCTGGCCTTAGTTTAGAGAGCATAAATAATATAAATAATAGTAACATCACAGTCAAGTTAGGGCTGCATCAAAGTATCCACATCGTTCTTCAATGTTTGGCAAAATTAAGCGAATGTTGCCTGAAGTAGTTCAGACTGTTTAGATGCCTCTTCCTCAGAGCGCTAATCCCATCCTCGACCTGCGACTTCTCCTTGTTTCCTTGCCTCAGCTGCATGAACTTCTCGCTCGGTTTCCTTGCGTACAAATCCTTATTGGGTTTCAACGTAGAACGGGAAGTCGTCATGGTGCTTAAAGTGGTCCTGGCGAAGAACTTGTGCGGAGGCGTCGGTACAGTCCTCCTCGTGATTGGTTTCCTCGTTGGATTGGCGCTCGCAGTTGTATTAAATTTCCTTATGTAACCAGTGTAGATCTTTTTGCGTTTTTCCATCACTTCAACGCGGTTCAGAACGCTGTTTTCTTGAGGCTTTGGAACAAACTTATTTTGGTTTCGATTGAAGAATTTTGTTCTAGTAACTTTCGGTGTTGTCGGTTTTGAAGTTGTAGTAGCAATTATATCATTATCGACTTCTGGTGTCTTCAACGATGATGGACTTTCCGTGGTGGTAGTTGTTCTTAGATTGTTGTTATTGGTTTTTCTCCTAGTCACCGTTTTAGGTCTTGCAGTTGTCGAAGTATTTTTTTTGATTACGGTAGGTTTCATAGTTGTTGCTGTTGTTGGTTTAGGGGAAGTTTCAGTTGTAGCAGTTTCAGGTTTATCAATTGTCAACGTTGTTAATTTGAACGTTTCATTTTCAACGTGAGGCATTTTTCTTGTTACTTCGGTTGTTGCTATTGGTACCTTGTTGTCATCGGTTGTGGTTGATTTCAACGAAACTCTCCTGGTTACAACTTCAGGTTCATCTCTTAGAACGGTGACTTTGATTACACCTTGGCTGGAAAATTCATGAGGTTCGGTAGTTATAACCAAATTCTTAACTGTCGTTGATTTCACACTGGGTAATCTGGTCGTAATCCGAGATTGATTCCTCGCAATCAATTTAACGTTTAATCTGTTATGCTTCGATTGAGATTTATCCTTAGGCTCGTTAGCAGCGATCGTGCATGGTTCGGATACCAGCAAATCCTCTACTCGACTCGGTGCGGTTGTACTCGAAGTCGTTCTTCTCGTACTTGATGATGAATCGATGCCATCTACAGTAATGGTTTGCGGCGTTTTTTTGGTCGTCGAATCGAGGACATTTGCAACCTCCTTTGAGCTGTCCGATCTGAGGTCGTCATTTTTTCCATTGACGTAATCCACATTAGCGACCTGATCCTTCCTTCGGATGCTGTTCGTGTAGACAAATTGCGGTCTCTTAATGGTCTTAAAACCATTTAACTCGTTTCCCGTCTGCGTGACTGGTTTACGATGCTGCTGGTGATTATCGTTGTCCTGGGCATGGAAGAATTGGAATCCTGCATGGCCGTTCGTGAAGAACCTCGGCACGTCCTCTTCGTAGGCTCTGATCCCCGCGCAGAGTATTACAAAGATCAGCGACGATTTCTAAAACAAATCAAACAGAAAAATACACTCAATATTTGCTACATTACGAACATTACGCAACCCCATTGCGACAAAAGAAATTGAAATTAATTTGCTTTCACTCAATTGTATTTGTATTATTCGCTACTCATTTGTTGTGACCGTGGTTTTGGTTACTTAAACCGAAAATAAAAACTTTCTTCATTCAATTACTTCAATGAACAAACAAAAACAAAACGGCTACACTTTGCGAAATACTTGTAAAATAACGAATGTTACAATGTAACAGTAAAATATGACAATTATATTAACAATAACTTATATTATATAAGTTTATTGTGTTGTCTGCATAAATCTTAATGTAAAAATTACAATTATTTAAAAAATACATAAACCTCTGAATACATTTTATTGATTTCGATGGATTTAAAATTAACGTACTTGAAGCTAATTGATAATTTTAATTAATAATATTTAGAATAGTGTTGTTCAATGTTATGGTCCTGGGCCAAGTGCTGGTCCCCCCCCCACGGCTACAAGACAGTCAAAAAAATTATAACATAAAATTATATTATTTCCTAAATATTATTTATATCTTAACCATCTCCCAGTCCGCAAAATATTTATCATATTTTTGCCTATCCACAGGTGTAAAATGGTTGAAGAACACTGACATTGAACACAATTTAAAGTGATTCAATTATATCAAATCATAAAAATTAAAGTTTTGCCTCAATGTTATTGCCATATTTTTTTAAATCAGCGTGTAAATTGGTAAAAATAAATTATTGACTTTAGTTTGCTAATTATCGAGAAAATTTGTAATTCGTTTCTCTTCTGATTTTAAGTGTTAGAATGTGCAGGAAATGGAATGAACGAAAGTAGGTTCTTCGTTTCTCAAAATGATCAAATCGAACGAGAAAAGCAACGACGGTTTTTCTAAATACTTTTGCTTAACTCAATTTGTCAGATGTAGGCATAGTTTGAATGTTGACTTTCCTTTTTTCCAACGCGAAAAAAAAATGGACTGCTAATTCGTTTAGTTTCTAAACAATTTATTTACAACAAATTCACTTTCAAGTGATTTAAGCTGTGTATGGAAGTGAATTATTCAGTACTTATTTCTATCATTCAAAAAATATATGACATAACTGAATTGCCGCATTTATTTCCAAATACTACACAGTACTACCTCGCAGAGTGCGGCTTTGATTAATCTGGATTCATTATAGTCACCCACTTGTCGCGTTCCCAAAAAAGATTAATACACAAATCTATTATTATTTTATAGATAAATTCGTATACAGTTAAATCTCTTTTTGTACTGTTTAAAGTTCTCAATTAGTCCGATTTCAAACAGTACATAATGGCGGAACCAATTACACTATTGTGTCCAACCATTATTATTAGAGTATATGCACAAACTATGTATATCATCTTAATGGAATCTTAAATGATAAGAATAGTCTCAAATGAATCTTAAATGAACCAAGTAACGAAGAAAGTTATGTAAAACTAAAAGAATTTTATTAAATTTCCAACAAATGAGACTCCACAATGACAACACTATACAATATTGTATTTTACGAAATGTTTGTCACTATTGTTACAATTTATTTTGTTCGTTAAGCGAGGTTCCACTGTACTATAAACATTTATTTACTTGGCATGTATAGTTTGATAAAATTAATTCAATTGAAATTAAAATAATTTATGTAATTGTATTATCTTTTCATACAGATATAATTTATAAATTGAAAAAGTTATAAATTAATATTGCATTATCATTTTCTAATTCAATAATAAAAAAATGTTTAAAGCAATTTCCGTAAAAGGTCTAGGAATGAGTTAATTTCACTTTTGTCTATATGGAAATACCAGAAGAGTCTCCCTTCGGTAATCGAGACGATCGGAAAAGAGAAAATGTCCTAGTAGCAGAAATGTCATAGGAACAGAACGAAAAATAAATTTATACAATGTATCGGAACGACCTGAATATGTTCTGCGTTTAATTTGTATAGGAAATAATAATGGAAAATTTGTACTACGATCTAGATCCCGTGGATAAATTAGAGTTTTCCCATTCCCATCCCAATATGCGAGAATGCATAATACAATAACAACGTCTTTTGTGCTTGTTTCATTACCTATTAACTATGCATGATTATAATATTCGTTCCGAATGTCGCATATACAGTGGAACCTCGCTTAACGAGCAAAATGAATTGTAAGAAAAATGACTCGCTTAACGAGTGACGATTAGAAGTCTGCCTACGCGCCTGCTACATATTTTTGTGTATTTTTGAATATGTTTCACTATACTAGTAATAATTCAGAAATTTTAGAACGGATTAAACTGGTTAAGCGAGGTTCCACTGTATATATATATACGCATGCATTCATTATAAACGTGAGCGCACGGCTCACTTCTCACATATAATCAATATGATTCTGTATGCGTGAAAGCTTGGTGAAAATAAATTCGGTGAAAACAACCTACATCGGAGTCCCACTAAACACAAAAAATAAAAACGAAAGAACCTCCGAAGAGAACGCCGCTGCCGCCGACAAGTCTTCGCGAAAAAGAAACTGGGAACAGGTGTTCTTCCGAAAACATAAATCATCTGGGAACTTCGGTTCTTGTTTGCTTATTTTTAGCAACGCATCGAATCCTATATTCGTACAAGAAGTTCTCAAAGATTGTTGAACTATTCATTTTTACTATATCACTCACAAACACAAATACAATTTGAAATATTAAAGACGAAATATAGCAGTACCTCGTATGATGCAGCTTCGATCAGTGCGATTCAATTTTAAAATTTCAAAAAAAAAGAGTTTTAATTGAGATAAATGAATTAATAATAAAAATATACAAAATTATTTTTTAGTTATTAACCTCCATAAATTGTCATATATACATAATTTTTTTAGAAACTTACAATCATTTTAAATATTTATTACGAGTTTTTCTTAGTATCCGTTTAGGTCTTAAAGATTTCTACTGGTTTTTTTTTTCTTTTTGATGAAGAAGTCGAGAATGTAATGGAGTCATAAGGTATCTCGCAAATAACAGAGAAAGTGTTTGCTCGAGAGAGTTATGACTGCTATTAACCCAGACATCATAAATTCTAATTTAAAATCGGATTACTGAAAACTCTAGTTACAAGTAAAACATTGTAATTAAGCTTATTTAGATAATTTATATAAATTAAGTTCTTTTGAATATATTCACAATAAGATATTAAAAGAAAATCATATTGATAATGAAGACAAAATATAATTTAAGAACGAACATCTCGATACATTCAGGATTTTGAAAACCTCTGCTGTAATATGTACTTCCACTAGGATTAACTTGTTGACCATGAAACTGGACTTTTTGTCGTTGTTAATATGTATTACTAAAAAAAGTAGGAAGGTAATAATACAAATAAACGTAAGGAGACTCGCATATTTTTTTTTGTTCGAAAAGCAAAAATACTCCACGTTAATAGCCATATTCTATTTAATTGGCTACATGCTCACCAATTTTTGTACATTGATACTCGAAGGAAATAAATACAAAAAAAAAAATGAGGATGGATAAAATGCGCTCGAAAACATGACCAATTATTAATGAAACAAGTTTCGATCCCGTCGCGTCCAACTTAAAATGTAATCCATTAAACGTCTTATTTTTTGTTTGTTTATTTTATTTTTATTTTCTTCAGCGATTTTCTTTTTTTTCCGTACTGCTTTTATTTAAGGTCGTCATTGTATGTAAAGTTCACAGTTATAACAAAAAAAATCGACGATACAATGCATCTAGGAGGCTAATTGTTCGCGAAAATCCGTGACTGATTAAATATTCATCGACTCAATTACGTGTTTATCCAAATTATCGTCATGAATAATAATTGGATTACAATTCATGCCCGATCATCCCACTCATTGTTTTACATTTCTGTTTTTTTTATAAAACGTTACTAAGCAAAGATTCATTATTTGTACAGATTCAATTGAACTGTTTAGAAACTATTATGAAAAGTAAACCAACTTTTATTTGAATACTTCTTTAATTTAAAACGAAATATTTCGTCTATTTTTTACTTTTAATGTAACTGTATCGATTGTTGTAATTTGTATATAAATTATATTATACAAGTTATGCAAAAAAGTTCTCAAACACTTTTAAGCAATAAATGATTACAAATATTGATTATTAGAATTGAAATTCATATAAACTAAGTAAAAATAAAAGAAATTATATGAAAGTTATGCAAAAAAGGTCAAACACTTTGAAGCTTCAAGATAATTTTTCAATAATCAATACTTTTTTATTAAGTATTTTTTGAGGCTATGAGAAATATCGATTATTACAATTGCAATTTATATAAATTAAGTTCTTTATGTATACATAATTTAAATTACATAAGTTATAATAAAAAGATTTGAAACTTTTAGCTAAAACATTTTTTACTATAAATTGATACTGAAAGTAAAAAGTCTATCGATCATTCCTCGCATATTTATTTTTGTATTATGTTGCATCTACTTTTATGGGCTGCATTGCATTCTTAATGGTTGTGGTAACCTTTATATTTAGTGGTTCCGATTCAAGAGAATCCTTGAAGTCCCAAACTAAGGAGGAAATTCGAAAGGAAAATCGTCAATGTAAATGTCGATTTTGATTAAATCAATCAATATGAGTAATTTAAATTATATACAATATATTTATTGTTAATAACAGTTTTGTTATATCCTTAAAAAAAATAATATTAGAGATGTTCGTTATGGAGATTTCAACGAATAGAAATTATATAATTATATTATTATAGATATTATACATTTTATTCATTCATTTTTGTGTACTTAAACACACGTTTTATAAAAATGATAAAATCAAAGCATACATTCTTAAAAACTACAAATATGACAGTTATCTAAATGTGTTTTTGGAAAAAAAAAAAGAAACAAATAAAAATATTTTAGTTTTTTCTAAAAATTTTGATAAAAATCTTAATATGTGTATCTTAGAA